GTAGACACCACTATACTGATCTGCACACATGAAAGAATCTGCTACTCTGTAAACGCAAGGCTGCTATTTTATTAAAAGGCCATGGAAATAGTTTGGGTTTAGGAGTTGAGATTAGGGTGTACAGCAGCTACACATGTGGAAAACTGATTTTTTCTCCCCTGTGTGGTAAAGAGGAGAAGTCACGAAACAAGCGTTGAGCTAGAAATAAATCATTTATTTTAAAACAATACAGATTAATAAATAGATTAGTTATCAGAAAACTTAATAAATAGCCTTTTATAATTTACACAAGGCAAATACAACATGCCTATAACTATTTCTTAAAAAGCAAAGAGAGTAAGCTTGACTTGTAAGCCATTAACAAATCTATATATACATTATTTGGAAGCTAATAAAATAAACCATTTTTATGTAATCTGTAGTAACTATATTGCAATAGCATTGAAGCAACCAAACCTGACACTGTATGTTTGTTGCCATCCACCTTTTCCCCATATCCCATTAGAGCTATTTTTTACATTCCAGGAAAAAAAAAAATAGTAAGTAAAAAAAATAAAAAAAGAAAGCAAAAGTTCCACAGTTGAAAAAAGGATTTAACTTCAAAATACCCTTTTGTGTAATATTTTCCACTCTGTAGAGCAACTGTCGCGGGAACACAACAAAAACAATTAAAAAATTAATTGCAGCTTTAAAAAAAGATTTCTTAATCCACAGCATCTCAACACCGCTGTCTGAAACATCTGGTCAGTAGTAATAACAACTGTGGACATCTTTGGTGCCTAACACGGTTCTCACTAAAATTCTGCCTCACTTCAGCAGCACCAAAGAGTTATTACAAAGACTCTGTAAAGAAAAGGTGACAGGTAATAGATAAACATTGGATAACATTGGATTTAACAGCGAAACTTCAGCAGTTACACTATCTCAAGACACCCGGGATGAATCCTTGATGGTTTATATTTACGAAACAAGGTGAGGGGGGTACAACGTGCAAACAACGGCCCGTTTTAAGCACCCCATATTTACTAACCCCGAATCTGTCTTCAAGTACAAACCCTCTATTTTTAAATAATAAGGAAAGCTAAACCTCAGATTCTAGTATTTCAGCAAATAAAATCCAGTGTTTTCATTTTTCAGTGCTAGTTACTTCAGAAAAATACCTATGTCCAATATAAACTGAGATTATTAATAGGAATATTAATTCACTCACTTGTCAAACCGTGATATGACAGGTTCTTACTGATGTTAGTTGCAGCTCACTAATAAATAAGCTCTATTTACACATACAGAATCCTGGAAAGTCAATACAGCAGATAACTTGCTTAGGTATTTTTCTTTTGTACTTAAGTATTGAAGGTGTAACAAATGTGGTTTTTTGGTTGTATCAAAAAAGGTTTCTATTCTTCTACTGCACATTTGAGGGATTTTTTTGTTTGACACCTAATAAGGATTGTGACTGACATGTAAATCCTCCATACACTGAAGGGATAATGATCAGAGAGCTATCTTGAAGTGAGTACCAAGTAAATGTATTTGATAATAGAAGCCATACATACAGAAAAAAACGCCTTTCATGTGGATTCTAATTTAATTCAAATGCATCCCACCACTGTAATGAGTCCACTTCTTATATGTGCAGCCTCTCTCACTTCTACTTTGGAATCAGAACTGAAGTCATCTGGCTCGCAGCTCTCGCCGGATGTAATGCAAAGAGAACGTGAAAGGGGCAGGCCTGTGACGGACACCTTTGGACACTCAGGAGACAGCTACGCACATTTGCTCCCTGAGATGACGGAACTCAGATATCTGTCTTATTCAATGTGCTTACTTGTCGAAGGGGTGGAGAAAAAAAGAAAAAAGAGGGAATAGCTAAAATTCAATTTCCACAGTGCCCCCTTTTAAATCAGAAAAGCAAAGGGACTAAAAAAAGGTAGGACACCTAAAATGAGGAGAGCGAGGGATGTAGGGGTGGGGGTGGGTGATAGAGTCATATCAACAGTGACAACAAAAAATGCTAATACGCTTCTAAAGTTAGAACTTAACCAGATCCAGGTGCAGCAGAACTCGGAAGAACACTGCTACGTGCTGAACAACGTAGCAAAATTAAAGTTTTCCGTTACTTAGCATTCACGGTGTAAAAGGCTGCAGATGTGCAAGGCCATGAGAATTTCTTGCAGCTCATGTGCTGGCTTTTGACACCTCTGTTTTAAACAGCAAGGTTAGCTAGACATCTCTAGAAAGCCCATCACAGATGAGGAGCAGCTGGGGAGGAGAGAAGCAGCCTATGCAGACATCGACCGGCTGTGAGGATGGTCAGAGGACCACGGAACACAGCCCTGACTTTGCTCTTACTCTGCACAGTGAGCGCTTATCAAGGAAACCTCTGTGTGTGATGCAGAAAGTGCCAAGGTTGAGACAGGGCAGTCAAGTTATTTTGGATCTGATATTTAATGACAATTTGCATGTGCGTCTAACATACTAGGATAGGCACTTTCTAAATAAACAGGCATGAATTTTAAACCGATTTTAAACAAATATGGTCAAAGGAGGACTAAGATGAGACCACAGAAATTTCCGTTCTAACCTAAAGATTTTTACTGAAGTCTTCAGAGGTTAACGGCTAGTACGAACCCAATGTGCAACTCATGAGCTCTGAATTTGAATTTTGACTGCTTCAGAAAACAACAAACATTGTTTTTAAAAGGAGGTCACCACAGGCCTCATAACCTATGTACAGTTCAGGTTTTGATCAGAAAAAGGGAATTAATAGGACAAAACATAACTGTCTGCTGACAACCAAGACACCATCTACTAGTCAGTAATGGACAGACATTGGGTTTAACCAGCTTTCATAGTCCAATTCCCCTCATCTACGATTCTCGAACTTTCTAGAAACCCTACAGAATATGTGAAAACCCATGAAGATGACCTTTTCTCTGCTAGCACTATTTTATTTCACCAAGATACCCAGTTTCCATGCTGGCCTACAACAACGTACATTGCTGTCAACTCAGGGCACACCCTCCCTCCCCCCGCGTCTGGAGTTATAAAACAAGCTTCCAACAACATAGCGGGGCTCTTGCTCCCTCAGAATAGTCCCTTCAGAATACTAAATTTTTAGGATTCACTGCTCACAGTTATTGCTTATAACATTCCTTTTCAGTGAAAATAGAGGCTAAGTTTTAAGGTAACATTAATTCAGGTCAAGAAAAAATATCACGGGAGCGGACAGTATTACTGCCCATTACTGTCTGCATTGCTCTCCGCCAGCCGCAAAGCTACATTCATGTTTTCTTGGTAAAGCGTCACAAACTTTTTCAGTCGCCGTCTCGTAATCACATTGAGGTTTTTTTTCTGTTGGTTTCTAGAGACGTTCTGAACTAGAGACGCTGAGTTCCACTGTACCCTTCCATTTTTGTACTTAAATGGGAACCAGCATTTTGAAGCTTTCCTTACAAGTCTTTGACTTGTGATGTCCTAACTACCAAATGAAAATTAACACGAAAACCTACTTACAGGAAAAGATACAACATGAAAAAAAAAAGAAATAAACAGGTTTTTTTCAATATTCTCTAAATGGTTTAAGCTGAACAGTTCAGAATCGTTCCAAACATAGCTTAAGCCATTTGTATTCCTTGTAAAAACATTACTGCTGAACTGTTCACACAGGTCTGTAAATTACCGGCTCTGAATGTATATCCCTGTTGGTTATCCGAAACTCAACACTCGGAATGCCTATACTCTTTTAGCCTTTAACCTCCTTTTCTGACGTGACAAGATTATCAGCCCATCTTTTTTGGAGCTGTGAGAAACCTCATGCTTTCTCAAATTTATTTGGGTTTTTTTGTGGTCCCTACTTATTAGCTACTTCACAAAATGGTTTTCTGTATTTAGCCACTTACCTAAAATACAGGTATGCTGGACTGCTTTACAAAGCATCCTCCCCGAGATTACCTCTTCCCATTAGGACTATGGGTTTTTCAGAAGCTGTCAAGGCAACTAAGGGTTTCAGCTCAGGTTTGTAAATGCTTTCAAAAATGTGTGGCTCCTTCTGAATGCTTTAGATGTTTAGAATTTGAACACAGTCCAATGTTACAGACAGTGAAATAGAATTATTAAACAACTATAGGCCATCTGAAACAAATACATTCACATTTATGCAGTATTTTTTGGATTACAAAGGCACTGAAATAGTTCTGATTTGCTTACAAATAAGCCACCATACAGGCAACGAGTCTGTGCATCATTTCCACATCCTTCACAGTCTTTGTCTGCTCCCAATTAAAAACTCTCAGATGAATGCGGTATGTCTTAACGCACATAAGTTACAAATAAAAACGCATACCTGGACACTACCATCAGCTGCTAAGTAATTAGTGAAAGATTTTTAAGGGTCCACTGTTCTGAATAAAGAATTCAATTTAAAACTCCCCGGTGCCTTCACCGCGTGGCAGACCAAGCTGCCGAGACAGTCACTAAAAAGGACAAATCTGCGGTCCATGGTTCAAACAACATTCGTCTCAGAATTCACAGCCTTGACGGTGAGCACATTGCTATATCGAGAATAACAAACTGTTCCACTCACTTCCCCCCCCCTCCCCCCACCATATTCCTAGGTATACATCACTCATGAAAGGTGTCAGATTGAGTGCATTAGAAACTGATGTTCTCTGCCCCCAGAAGCCGCAATACAAGCTTTCACGCACGCTCTATCAGAACATCCCTAGATCTTTTCTGATGGATTACCTTTTACAGTAAGGAAGTACATCGGTCTCTATGCTGACTCAATCAGTGGTTCCAATTAAGGTCATTTATTGTGTTGACTGGGGATCATGGACAACTCTTCCTTTGAAACTGGATGGAGGCCTCCAATTCATTCACGTAGGCCACCAAATAGTCAGAAGGTAACTACCAACCTGAATCACATTGGAATCAGTGACCTAGAAATGAAAGGCTCTGCATCCTTCCCTGAGCCATCCAGTTTCCCCTCAAAAAATATTTTAATCTGTCTTCATGTTAGGTTTATTTAAATCCCCGATATTGAAGTTGAATTCCTTGAAGACTTGTATAAGAACAATACCAATAGATACTGTGGTGAATCCACAAGCCATTCCCAAGAAATCTACCACTCCCACATTACTCCATTCCCTGAAAAGGATGGCTGAAGCCAGCAGGACTAGGGTGGTAAACACAACGTAGTAGATGGCACCAAACACAGAGGAGTCGAAACATTCCAGTGCCTTATTGATGTATCTGAACTGAATGATAATGCTACATCCTAATACTGCCAGAAGTACCAGACAGAGGTACAGAGCCCTTTGACTCGAGGGGTTATTGTGAAAGATATCTTGAGCAGCCAGCCCAATGCCTTTTGTACTGGGAACAGTGAAACTGCCCAACAGAGAGCAAATACTGATGTAAACCATAATATTAGTAGGTCCATGAGCTGGAGCGATCCAGAAGATAAGCAGGAGCAGCATTAGCAGCACGATGCAGAGATAGCCCACGAAAACTGGAAAACAAAAAGAAAACAAGATAAGAAGAAGGTGAGAACTCCTGGTCTTTTAAAGATTTCAGCAGGCAAATCATGTCATATCAGCGAGCTTCAGGTATACACCCCGACTCAGGTGTGCTACTGAACAGAGATCCAAATCACTGGCTTTGAGAGATCTTGTGGGCATCTGCAACTGATGATGTTCTCATCAGTTCTTTGGGTGAAACAAATCATCATGCAGTAAAATACACACTCTTGCACATTTGAACTGGATTTAAGAAGGCTTTTTCCTTTCATTTTCATTCTCATTTCCATCAGGATTATACTCCTTAAAGCCCCCTGTGACAGGCAGCAGTGGTAACACCTCATTCATAGCCAGTTCAATAAAGCATGGTGTGTGGATCCAGCAAAGAGCTTAAACATAAAGTCAGATCCCATTAAGGCAAGTAGGGAGAGCTGGAAATGCTGAGAGGCCATATCACTTACATTACAGCATCATCACACAGATCAGACTGGTGAAAACCATTTCATGCTTTACAGTTTTAAAGAAAAATATTTCCAATTCATCTTGGTCAGACTGAAATGGTAAATTTAGACGAGGGTATTTCTTTCCTTTTCTTTGATTGCAAATTTTTGGCATAGCTGATGTTATTAGGTTTGAATTTCTGTCACCTAAAGCAATGAAAGGAAATAAGAGCAGCTGGGAATGTAGCTCTTATGCAAGAAAAATAAAAGTGGGTCCGGCATGTTTTAGCACTAGTACGTGTCCTCCAGGAGCTAACGGGGCTTTACATTTTCTGTAAGAACAGGCATTTCAGCCTATGTCTCAATGGCGTGTTCCTACACACTATTATTGTGCAAAGAAATCTGCATGGAACATCACTGGTATCCAGTATAAACTTTTAATAAAAAAAACACAGACGCAGAATTAAAGAACAAAAGACAATCAGTATTTTTTGTTTGGGTGGGGGGGGGTGTTGGTTTTGGTTGTTTTTGGGGGTTTTTTTAAGAATTTAAGTTGACATCCTAGAACTATACCTTTCACCTCTAAGTAGCAAGATACACTTTTTCATAATTTTAGAAAATTACAAGGTCAAATAGCCATTGTTCTGAGGTTGCTGGGTGGTATAACACTTTCAAAAGTATCCACGTTTTCCTTTCTGCACACATGTATCCATAAATCTGAGGAGTTCCAAGCACAGCGAGGCATAGTTTCCCTACCCAAAAGCTGTACTGGTTTGCCTCTGTCACGTCATGGTTTCTTCAGAAGCCAATTTTCCCACCTGGTGGAAGCAGTAAGCCTCTCCCCCCGCGTGCTCTTGATCAATCTCACACAATCGTTATGAGTTAATCAAAGAACAAAGTACCTGGATTTGTAAGCTTCTCCTCAAGCTCAGCCTGAGTCGTTACACTCTCGGACTTTGGGGAATGGATGATGAGAACAACAGACCCGGCGCAGCTCAGCAAACATCCCAGCTTGCCAAGAATGTTCAGTTTTTCTTTCAGTAAGTAAGAAGCTAAAATGGACCTTTCACAAAGAGAAAGAAAATCAAAAGTTTGATTACATGCTGTTAATAATGCTCGAAAAGTGATGTGCCACTTGCATTTCCCTCTTAAAGGACTAATTCTTATAGGAAAAGGAATAGTTGGTAGATCCTCAAAATGCATTTCTGACTTATCTTAGGAAAGATCATCCACCCTCAGTCTTACTCAACCCTTGATGTCTCATCTCAGGAAAAAAACCCCAAAACCCACCCCAAAAACCAGCACCACATCACCCCCTCCCAAAAAACCATACACCCAAACCAGACATCTGGAATCCCTGAGGCAGACATCTACCTGTCGACACTTTGGTGAGCTGTCACTAAGCCCCATTTATAGGTGCTACACCTTCACAAGACGAAAGTGACCTCTGGTGACAGAGATCACAGGCCTCAGCTCAGACACACTGATGACCAAAATACACAAAATCATGTGGCCTGGGATAAAATAATAGGTGGTAAGTAGACCACCATCGGTGTGTTTCATAGTGTGTAAAACTGAAGGCAGCCGTGAAGTCCATATAAAGCCATCTACACTCTGAAGTAGATGGCCAGTTCTTGTGGTTTAGCCCCAGATGGCAACTAAGCACCCCACAGCCACTCACTCACCCCTCCCTTCCCCAGGTGGGATGTGGGAGGAAATAAAAAAAAAAAACAACAAAACTCGTGGGTTGAGATAAAACCAGTTTAATAGGACAGCAAAAGGAGAGGAGATAATAACACTAATAAAGGAATATACCAAACCAAGCGATGCACAACGCAATTGCTCATCACCCACCGAATGATAGCCCATGCCCGAGCAGTGTTTCCCCCCAGACAACACCCCTTAGCTTATATACTGAGCATGGTGCCTTACGGCGTGAGATGTCCCTTTGCTCAGGTTGGTCACTGTCCTGGCTGTGTGCCCTCCCAGCCTCTTGTAGAGAAGAAGCTGGGAACGCAGGGGCAGTGTGAGAAACTGGAAACGCCCTTGGCTTAATATAAGCATTACCTGGCAAGAACTAAAACATCAGCGTTATCAACATTCTTCTCAGCACAAATCCAGAACATAGCCTCATAGTAGCTACTGTGAAGAAAATTAACTCTATTCCAGCCAAAACCGGCACACCGGTGCAGTCCGATCCATGATTCAGCAGCCAACAGTAGGCAACAGAAAAATCTCAAGGCAATGCACAGCCTTGTTTTCAAATAATCGTACTTTTTCACTGCAGCAGTTTCACAACTGTATTGTAGCTATTCACAAAGCATTTAGTTGCATATTAAAATCCTTTTAGGAACACTCACTGTTTTGTTCCCTACCCTTACGTGAACAAAACATTGAAGAAGCTGGGGCCTGCATATGCAAAGGACTCCCTCGCTTGGGGAAACGGGGTCAAATCCCATTAAATGAAAATCAGCATCAATGAACACGTGAGCTGTGGCTAGCAGGGGAGAGAAAGAATGTGAGACAAAAAGAAAGAAAGATCTACACAGTAAGGGAACTGTGAATAAGAGAATAGGCAGAAGAGTCCAGAATAACCCCAGTGAATGGGGAGGGGAGGGAAAAAGGATATTTATCTGTTCCAGGTCACAGTGATAGTTAAAGCCAAAGCTACTCAGGAACCCTTTCTTCATCACTGTCTTCTCCTCTGCCCCACCACTTTGCCAGGGAAAACAGAAATAGGTGACATTATAACACATCATTAAGAGTCATAAGCCTGGCATCTTCTCCGCAGACCTCCAGTGATCACTGAGTCTATCCGACATTTTGTTAAACAGTAACAACATGCAGATAAGAACAAGAAAAGCAAACTCTCACCCAAATGGAACGCCAAGAGCTCCCAAGGGCGTCACTAGCACAGTTGGGACCGCAGTGTAGGCCAAGAAATTCCCTATTTGACCCAGAGCCACTGTCAAGAGAACCAGAAATAAACCTTTAAATCCCTTTCTAAAAAGGAGCAATGAAAACTTACCCAATACTGTTTGGGAAAGACTGACCTAACAGGAAAACAGATGTTACAGATTTGCTTACTCTGTCAATTTTGCACTTAAACAAAATGGCTGGAATTTTTCTATATTTTTAAATAGTTTTTTTTTTTCATCTAGGATTTATATTTGCAACACAAGAAGATCCAAGAGGGCACAATAAATAATCCTATTTGCAGTTGAATATAAATTCTAATTAAATAAATTGAATTAGAAAAACTCATTGATTACACTCAAATATCTTATTACACTCAAACATTTATGTGGGGAGGGCTAAAATGATATATAACCCATTTTTTCAGCTTTAGAACGTGCACACAGGTAACACAAATGCACTTGGTTATAGTTCTTTAGGGCAGTGTTACTTTGGGGTGGTGAGGGAGGGGGTGTGGAAAATAAGGGCAGTACTGAGGCATTTAATAATGAAATACTAAGCACCTGCATAAAGGCTTTTCAACATACGGTAGACCGCATCAAATTTTCACAACACTGTATAGCATGAAGAGTAATTCCTGACCACCGTAAAGAGAACAGACCCCCGGCAAGTTGCAGTAACAGCCTTCTTTCCCCCAATAAAAACAAGTTCCAAGATGCACCACGCTATTGCACATCACAGCCGTGATAAACAGTTCATGCGTTCTAGTTTTCAGTTCAAAAAGAAAAGCTGGGTGGTTTTGCAAGTGCTGGCAAGTTTATAATGACGCTTGCATAGTTACAGGGTCTGTGGTAACTGGCAAGAACCCTGAGATTGAACACAGATTACATACGGCTCAAATTTCCAGTTGATTTTAAGAGCTATTATCAGCATAAAAAACCATTTCAGGAATCCAAGCTGTCTTCCTGCTCAGGCTGGCATTGTCCTCGACTATCAGATATCATTACCATCATTGCGTTCCTTACACCTGCAAAGCCCTGTGCAAACATTAATTAATTTACCAAATTAGCTCACATTATCGGTAGAGCTGAAGACCTGCGTAACCTACAGGAAACACGAAGGAGACAAACAAACTTACAAAACTGCAGAGTGCAGCAAAATTACACTAATCCAATTCACTGAGGCTTTCTCTACGTGCAGGGGCGAGCCAGAGTAGGTAATGAGCAGCGTTTCTAGAGCACAGGAGTCAGTGATGGTCTCCCTACCCCTAGGAACAGAGTAACTCGGCTACCAGCCTCGGGCTTGTTTTTCAGCAGACGTATGTGGCAACTTTGGCATTATCTTCAAGGCATCCAAAGGCATGGAGGACGGGACACAGCTAGCCCACTGTGTTTCTGCAGATTACATATGCTTCCTAGTGACTCCTGTTGTGGTTTTTGGAGGTCAGGTGCCTCAAACTTTCTCTTAGAAGAACCCTAACAGATAGCACTGACACCGATCCATAAATTAAGTCTCTGAAGCTTCTGTCAAACTGCACATAGTGTAACTCAACTGAACTTACCAGAAGTGTTCAGTATCACCATGGAGTAATAGTAACAATCTCTTACCTCCACGAACAGACCAGGACTAATTAAGACCGGTGAAAAAAAGAATCTCAGTAATTGCTACCATCTACCCAATGATGAGGCATTTTGCTGCCAATCTATCCTATCCTCTCTGGATAGACATTCTCCTACAGATACATCAGTGCTGGAAGTCAAGACATGGCTTCAGTTCTTGAAGACACACCAAGATTTAAGTACTAAAGAAGTACCAGTATCCCAAAAGTTACTGCAACACAAAACTTCATGTGCACTGATGCGTCTACATTAGCAAGGCGACCAGGAGTAGATCTGTGACAGCAAAGGATGTCTGCCGTACTCATGTCAGGGGTTTTATTTCAGACTAACTTCAGCCTGCTCCCATGGACTGAAAGTCTGTTTGCAGCTGGTGTGTGCTAGGCATGTTCCTACAGTGCCTCTTCCAGCCTAGTTTCACCTTAAAGCCCAGTTCAGGGGCTCCAACACTGCTCCACAAGATGAAAGAAAGCCTGATCCATGGAGACAAACAGGAGGTTCGCTTCACAACTGCATTCCCCATCTGCAATAAAACACTGACATAGATGTATCCACTATAAAACTCAGCCACATCTATGCTGCTGTCAAAACCTGCACCAAAACTAATTAATTAGACAATTAATTAGTTTAATGCTCATTGAAATACCTGTTCACATGCTGCAACCACTCTTTTGACTTTTAAAAAAATCCCTTAGCAGAATCTGTTGCCCTTTCTTTGAAGTCTTCAGTTATCCAGCGGATCCCGAGGCCCCAAAATGGTTAGGCAGTGTTATGCTGCATCAGCATGCCAACACAGAAATGCTTGTTCACCATCTGAACAAATATTGTGAAAACAAGTTGATAGAGTTTATGTGGGTTTTGTTAGTCATCCAAATTCCCTGCTTGAGAAAATTATGTCAGCTGTTATAATTTCACTCAGACAACTGGGGATGTTGCTAATGCCCCAAACGTCACCTTTCTCTGCATCCCGATGGTGCCTACCTGGCTCTCAGTATTGCTGTTTGTGACTCTCTTGCAGTTCAATCTATAATATCCTTAGGCAATTCTTCCCTTGGTTCCTTTGTAAACTTACTGAGGCTTTCTCTTGAAACACTTGCACCTAGCTACGGGACAAAAGCCAGCTGATACCATTCCCTTCAGGTATTTTGTCTTCACTCAATTCAGTCATCTCTTTTAAGCATGAAATTGTTTTCTCTGATCCATCAAGATAAACTCCTGTAATAAAAACTCTCTCATTTTGACTCCTTCTGCTTAGAGATTCAAGATGGGAGCCTCATGAGCCATAAACAACAGTGATTAACGCACAGATTTACTGCTGCTTAGGCAGTAGTGATCCTGGCAGAGGAGGAAGCTGACAAAGAACTACTTAAACTCGGGTTAAATTAGCTGAGAACTTTCCTCTGAAGCTCTGTTGGCTCCTACCCTTGCTGTGAACTTTGTCCTTCAAGGGATCTATCAGTTTCCATTCCTTCTGCATAGCCTGAAGACAACAAAAAGAGAGACGTACCTTGTTGCCATGAAATAAGGGGCACAACTGGACTCATACCGTTCTCAGAAACAGCATTAGAACACTTCCAAATAACTCACAGAAGGCTGGGTTAGGCTCTAAAAGCGGGGTATGCTTTTAGGCTTGTGGGTAGAACTAAGGCTAACCTGAGAGAGGAGAAAGCTAGCTGCTCCCTGTGCTCTGGATTCACATCAGGGAGTGAACTTCGCCTGAGCAGAACTTAGAAAGATTCTAGGGGTAAAATTACACTGATCTCATATCAGCACCACACAAGGCTTCACCTCAAAACTGAAACTGTACCTGTCAAACTAGAAACCATAAAAGGATTATATTTTTGTTTTAATCGAGGCTGGCTAAGTGCTTTCTGATCTAAAAAAAATAACGTGCTCAATGAGCCCTTTGTTGCAAAGCGATAATTTCTTGCCCAGCTTCGACCTGCGTTAGAAATTGAGGGGACCAGTGCAATCCAGAGACACAAAACATGCAGGAACCCAGAGTCAGAGCAGCACATGGCTGCTAACGGCTGCAAGTACCAAACGGTTTGGAAATCTGGGAACATGCCTGGCTTGGGATTGTCCCAGCTCTTCGCTTTCTCAAACACCATCAGACACACAAGCCAGAGTGAGAGTTCACTACAGATGGGATATTTCTGAGGGATGGGAATTTCGTGACAAGCGAGCGTGAGATTCAAGATTAGAACCCAGATTTACCGATGTCTCGTTTCACCATTTAACCGCAACTTCTCCCTCCAAAAAAGACCCAAACCTTTTAAGGTACTTACTTGCAATCGTGCCAGACCACCATACTATATCTGTTAAGTACGAAGTACCTGGAAGAGGAAGTATAGTAAGATATATTAGAAAAATATGAAATTGTAGTGTTGGAACTAGGCAACAGAGTAATTTTCAACAGTCTCAGTTATTAAGGACCTCCAAAGCATCACCAAATGCTTCTGAGGGTGACATTTAAACACCGGGAGTAGAACCACTACTAGGAGAACGGGGAACCTATGGAAACAAAACATGTTTTGGATCAATTAGTTTGCTAATATAACCTGAGTGAAATAGTATCAGAGCAAAGGTAGCAGAGAAATTCTTTTGGCACGCTGTTTTGGCAGCACTGTAGCAGGGAACGATCCTCCTGCATTTGAACATCAGAAAATGCTGCTGCTGAAGCCTCTGAATTCCTGATGTACTGTCATGTTTCAAAAAAAGGAGTAAAATCTCCGGATTGTGCCTTAGTGCCTCCCAAGCTCAAGGATGATTATTTTGTTGTCAGATTATAGGTTCTTGCCTCGGGATGCGCCAGGGGAGTCTGTGCACCACACTTTAAGTTTTGCTTCTGTAGAACATCCAGGCTAAAGACCACATACTAAACAGAAGCCTGGCCTCCACTGAACGCAACCTTGGCACCACGTCACGCTCTTACGTTCTGCTCCTTTTTCTAGCAATTCAGCTCCGCTTCTATTTGGAAAGATGCTCTCTCAAGAGCTGGTGGAGCAATAGGCAATATTGTACCTACTCTGAAATCCCAAGTGAAAGGAAAAGCACAGTGATCTATAACTCTGGAGAAGTATGAAATATTAAGCACTTGGAAATCACACTATATAGTTGAAATGAGATGGAAAATGACTAATGAAAATGGCCAGCTTTAGAGTGGGTGTGATCATTTTTTAGACTTTTGTTACTGCATATAAAATAAAAACACTGTTGGGGGCACAAATTACAGAAAATATTGACTCAAGTAAGATAAGTTTGCAAAATATTTGTCACCCGCTGCTGTTTCTAACTAAGCAAGGATTACTAATTGCATTGATAATACAGAGAAGACAGAAAAGACCTGAAGTGCCTGCTTGTTAATTATACAACACCTACTGAAGCCGGTGGGAAAAAAGCCATCATCCGACACCGACGGTCTCGGGCTCACAGCTCCGGCTGTGAGATTCAAGGCAGAACGGCTCTGCTTCACAACACCAAAAAGAGAGAAACCCAGGGGATTTGCCTGGATGTCTCCACACTGAGCACTGCAAGAGGAAATGCTGCGAATCGTTCAGCAAGACACACAAACACCAGTAATATCTTCAGAACAGGGTGTTTTGCAGCTGCTGGCGCTGGGACGGCAGGCACACACACATCGGCTGCTTATCCCAGTGCTCCACTGAAAGCTCTGCAGGAGTAACCAGACCCAACTATACTGCAAAATGAAAACTTCCCCAACTGCCTTGGGATGGAAAGTCATTCCTTTTTCTCGCCTTTACTCATCGTTTCCCTTAAAAAAAACCAAAATTGTATTTATGATGCAAACACAATTTCTCTGTGGACAATATAAATGGATTGCAGACATCTTGGAGGGAAAGGGGGACTAAGCTCACAAAACAACAGTTTGTCTGAGGCCCTTAACCCTAAGGTCATCGCAGAAACAGCCAATAAACTTGTTGGATCAAGCTGCCAGCTGGTAGTGACAATTGCGACCTTGCTCTGCTCCACGGCTTTCACCCTGAACAGGGCACATGCAGCAGGCGCCGGGAACGCATTGCTGCTCTAACACTAACCATCTCAAATACGTGTGTGTGTGCATAGATATTTACATGCACACACACACACACTCACAGAGAAAATATCTAGCACGCCCTGGTCACCAAAAAGGATTTTTCATAAGAAAGAGTTCCTGTAACCTACAGACACATTCTCACATGCACACAGACACCATCACCTAAAAAATAAATGGCTATTGATCACAGAAATACAATCAAAAGGCCTCAATGCAACCTGTGTTTACAACTTTCACCTCCCAGAGAGGCATGATTTTTAGTACAAACAAATACATTGCATTTTCCTATTATTCAAAGCATAAAGTATGGAACCAACCAATGCCATTCAGAGGCTGCATGCTTTGGGGAGCTCAGAATAAAACAGAAAAGCTTTTCGTACTCTGTGAATTTACAGCTTCGTTTTGGCTAAACTGCCTGGATAGCGCAGCCAGTTCCGGAATACGCTGGCGTCAGGAAGCGATACAGAGGTACAAGATTTCGATATGAAAAATGAAAGCGAGCAGTGATTTCATGCCACCAGCTGCCCGTCCTCTACAAACGGAAATCCCCACGTGACTGATGTAACTCGCGGTGTGTGTCCCTGGGAAGGGCTGGAATAAACAAGTGACAAGCTGGGCTGGTGCTGCTCACGGCAAGAAACTCTGAGCCGGGGAAACGGGTGAAGTCCCACGAGCACGTGAGAATACCGCAGGGGAGACCCACAGACGCAGGCACACGCGAGTCCCTGGCGCCGTACGATGACCAGGCCATCTCGGGAAGCTGTTGCTGATGACTACGCTATCAACATCCATCCCCCCCACCCCCCGCT